TTCTCCAGGTGTTTGGTTCTCCAGGTGTTTGGTTGTCCAGGTGTTTGGTTCTCCAGGTGTTTGGTTCTCCAGGTGTTTGGTTCTCCAGGTGTTTGGTTCTCCAGGTGTTTGGTTCTCCAGGTGTTTGGTTCTCCAGGTGTTTGGTTCTCCAGGTGTTTGGTTCTGTGTTGCAGCTCTGTCCAGCTGGCAGCTGCAGATTGAAGCCGAAGAGGCCGTGATGAAGGTTCCGTGTCCGGACTTCGTGGCTCTGAACCGGGACGCGGTCCGGTCCGGTTTGGTGACGTCCAAGGAGCTGAGGCAGTACCGAATCCAGGTGGGCGACCTTCAGGTCAAGGCCGCGGAGCAGCAGCAGTGCAGAACCTCACGGCGAGCCCATCTGGTACCGGACATTGTGTTCGGGATCCGCAACAGGTTAGGAACCGGATCATCCACCTGATCGGTCCATTATCGATCAGATTATGGCTCAGATCGATTATTGATGTCTGATCAGGCCGTCCTCTCCGCTGGCCGACGTCCTGGCTCACCACTACGGCCACCGCTGGCTGGAGGAGCAGCTGAGCCGGAACCGACCTGGCAACCTGACGGTGAGGGGCGGTCCAAACGTCACCGTGCTTTTAGAACTGGACCGACACTCGTCTTTGATGTCTCATTGATTATTTATTGGATCATCACAGGCTAAACCGGGTCGAGCTGCAGAGACCAGAACCAGTCTGCTGAGGAGCGCCAGAACCGAGACGGTTGAGAAGAAACCCTTCACCCTGCCTCAGTTCTCACAGGTGAAACACACACCTGAACCAAACACACACCTGAACCAAACACACACCTGAACCAAACACACACCTGAACCAAACACACACCTGAACCAAACACACACCTGAACCAAACACACACCTGACCTGAAGACAGCCGTTAGGAAGCAGAAGTTGGACCCACAGCTTCCTGTCAAACCTCAGATGAACTGGTTAAACTGGTCTGAACTGGTTAAACTGGTTTACAGATCAGATGTTTCATCTTCACCTCAGCCATTGATTCTTCTGCTGCTCCACCTTCTGCTGTTCTGGATCTAGAAGTGAAGAGGCAGCTGGAGAGACAGAACCGGAACCAGACCCAAATCCAGAACCGGAACCAGAACCAGATGGAGTCAGCCCAGAGTCCAGCAGAGCAGCTCTGTGGCCCGACCCAACAGAAGGTTCTGTTGCTGTGGAAGACACCCTGCCTGGTTCCGGTACAACAGGAAACTCACTATCAGTCACCGACGACTACAGACCTGTTGCCATGACAACCCTCATCATGGAGGGACTCCTGCTGGGCTCTGGACCCTCACCTGGCCTACTTCTGTCATCTCCAGAAATACTCTGATTACTCTGCAGCTGCTGGTGGGTCAGACGCAGACCAGAGGACAGAGGGAACAATCAAATCACCTGGGATGGAAACAAAACAAAGGAGATGATTTCAGGAGGAACAGGGTCAAAGGTCAAACCCTGTTTCCATCATGGAGAAGAAGTAGAGGAATATAAAACCCTCGAAGACAGACTGGCACCAGAACCAGGGACCTGAAGAGCCTCAGCAGGGTGATAAAGAAGGCTGGTTCTGATCTGGTTCTGATCTGGTTCTGGTTCTGATCTGGTTCTGACTGTGGAACCTCTGCAGGAGACGACGCAAAGAAAGATTCTTGATAAAATGAAGAAAGTTCTGGCCGACCCGGACCGTCCTCTGCACCAGACTGTGGTGAAAGCACAGCGTCTTCAGTCAGAGGCCTCTTCAGATTCACTGTAACACAGACTGCTACAGGAGATCCTTCACCATCTGTAATAACTGAAGAATCTGAATTAATCTGAGCTACGATAATAAAGTCTTTTGGATTTGAACTCAGCTCGGTTCTCCTGATTGGGTCAGGCGGTTCTGGTTCTGGTTGTGCTACAGGTGACCCATCTCTGCTTCCCCTGCAGATTCCGGCGGCGCTGGACACTTTCCGGGACTCAGCAGACCGGAAGCGGGCTGCCAGCGCTCAGCAGCAGAACCGGTGATCCAGAGAGGACGGCCGGATCGGGGCCAGAACCGGACCGGTTCTGATTACTGCTAATAAAGCAGCAATGTTTGCTCCACAGGAACGAGTCGAGTTTCATTCTTTCACAGGACAGAACTGGGTTCTGGTCCGGTCCGGGTCTCTGTATCAATCCGACATCATTAAAACCTGATTATTACATTTATTCTTTACTTTTGTCTAAAGCAAAAATAATGAAAACTTTTTTTTCAATACTTGAATGAATCTCCTTTCTGTGCAGCCAGCAGAACCGAGCTGAGCCCAAAGCTCTTTAACCGAACCACAGTGAACAGAACCTTCAGGTCGGAACCAGCAGAGGAGAAAATGAGTCTTAGGGCGGAGACGCACCTGGAGAGGAGGAGGATGAGGAGGAGGAAGAGGAAGGTCCAGGAGGATCCGGGAGGTATGGGTATGGTTCTGGTCGTGGTTCTGGTCGCAGCAGCAGCTCGGCTCATGACGTCTTTCAGACTTTTTCTTTACTTTAAATCAGTTAAATGACGTCAGAGCCAGCATCCCGCCACTTTCTCTGCTGTCTGTCGGGTCAGGCGGGTTCTGGTTCTGGTTCTGGTTCAACATCTCTGTGATCGAACTTTCCCGGTTGCGCTCGGACATGGACCTCCCGGCCTCCGGACGCTCCAGGTTTCTCATCGACTCGCTGCTAGCGCTCAGGCCGCCCGCAGCGCTCTTCTCCCGGCCAAACCCTCCGGAGCTCCGCGGCGGCTTCCCGGAGCCTCCGTTCCCGCAGAGGGAGCCTGATCCCCGCAGGGAAAACCCGGCGCTGCCCGGTCCGGCCCACCGGCATCGCTGCCTCGGCGCCACCTTCCTGATCCGGGACATCCTGGCGGACTGCCGGTTCTGTTCGGACCCGGGACATCCCGAACCGGGAGCCGAACCGATCCGACCTGGACCGGCGGAATACAGCGCAGGTAAAAATCCAGAAAAGATTCAGGAACAAATCTGATTGATTTTATTAATTTATACTTTTAATTTAATCCTTTAACAAAAAATAGTTTGAAGGTTTGATGTTTTTCACATTTTGATCGAATTTATGATTAAGTTCTATTTATTTTTTCAGCTTTATTTTTAGAAAAATATAAAAAAGATCAAATATATTTTCAACATAAAATGATTCATGTCAATTTCAACAGAATTATATTAAGTTTCAATTTATAGAATAAAAATTATTTCACATAAATCTGATGATGATAATAATAATCAATATTCTGATCGCTTCTGATTCGAACTGATATTTTAATTACCGGTCAGGACCTGGTCCTGGTTCCGACCAGAAATGCTCGGTTCTAATGGACCTCCTGGTTCTGGAGGCAGAAATGCGATAAAATGATAAAGATAAAAATCCAAAGTTTGATTAGGAAAGTTCGGTTTTTCAGTTTTCTGACTGGTTCCGGTTCGATGCGACCGGATCAATCCGGACCGGTTTTCGTTCTTCATGAAGAA